GTTGGCTGTCTTGATGGCATCCTGGCCCGTCGGACGCAGTCGGGAGCAGTCTTGAGGGCCTCATTGGGCAGATTTGGGGCCCTCTTGGGGTGCTCCAGCGTCGCTTTGGCTGCCATTTTGGGCGTCTTGGGGGTCCCTTGGGCCGCCTTGGGGCCCTCTTGAGGCCGTCTTGGGGCCTTTTGGGCAGTTCTGGGGCCCTCTTGGAGGCCTCTTGGGCGATCTTGTGGCGACATTTGAACGCTCTCAGTGCTTTGGTGGAGAAGGGCAGTATAGTCCAACACACAACTTTCAGTGGCTCTCGGGCCGTTGGAAGGCCGTCAGAAGGCCGAACAGAAGCAAATGCCAAAATCGTTCGAACCTAAGGATAATCAATGATGTGGGCCTCTTCGGTCCTTCCTGGAGGACCTCTTGGAAGCCTCTTGGGCCGCGTTGGGCCATCGAACCATCTTAGGCTGTCTTAGTGGCCTCCTGGCCCGTCTGACGCCCTCGGACGCCGTCGTCGTTGCGCGGCGGGTGCCGCGGAACATTGATTAATTACCGTCTCATTGGTGGGACCACAGCCCGTTAATAAGGTCGCCGACACAAAATGTACCCCTTATTGGGGGTCTACAGGCACTTCGCGGTTAAGACTTTCCCGCGGACGCGTGCTTCAGGAGATCCCTTTTGCACGCGCCAGAGTATTGATACGGTTGCCAAATGCGCGCCGTGGGCCCGAAGCCATGCAGTCTGCGCATACCACTTCCATTACATGCGTGAAGTGGTCCGTCTCCCTCGCGCTATTGATGTAACTCTGTCGCGGTTCTTCTTTGTTGCGCGCAAAGCGGGCCAAGTGGTGCTACAATCGCTTCGCCACATCGGCCAATCTCTTCGCGGTAATGCCCCGCTTGTCATATTCTCGGCAGGCAGCTCTGGTGTTTTTGTTTTTATCTTCCGACGACCTTGTCGTTCCCGTTTCAAGCGTTTCGTACCCGAGAGCGCCATTCCGCAACCGCAACACGCCAGCAAACACAGCAGCCATGGGCCACCCTAGAGACTTTGTTTCGAATCGACAAAAGAAGCTTTGTGTGCGTTTGCCAGCCATGACCGCGCAGGCAGGGAATGATTTGAATTTCCGAAGGAGGCGTTGTCGAGAGCGCAGAGGATTTACGTGCAATGGCCGTGCGTTTCGATAGCGCTCAATGGATGTCGCGAGCCGCGACGCTTATTCCGCGTGAGCCATCGGGGCCCCCATTGCTTATTTTAGACGGCGCTTTTTCAATTCAAGCGATGCGAGCGGCAAGTTCTAGACCGAAAAACGGGCAAACGCCTGGGCCAGACGACGCTTCGCCAACAAATTGGGAAATGTTGGGAAATGGCCCGAAATAACTGGAGACGATTGTGAAGCTGCTGAATCGATGCTGGCGCGAGAAGCAAGCGCCAGACAATCGGCGACGCGCAGCGGCGGCGACCATCTACAGGAACAAAGGCCCCGTGGACGAGCGCGACGGTCATCGCCTGATCAGCCTGCTACGCGCTTCGCATGCTGACGAGGCCGCAAAAAAGGATGAGCCGAATCTACATTTAATGGGGCGCAGTGCAGGTTCAGGCGGAAGCGCGGCACGAAGAACGCCGTTTACGCGGCGCGCGGGCACGTCGAGCTAGCGAGCGCCGCGCGCGAGGGTAGAGCAGCAGAATTGCTTTTCGGTGAGGAAGAAGCACTCGGCTCGACAAGCGTGTTCGCTGCTCCCCTCACAAGCAACGTGCTATATTATGTCACTTCGTCGTGGCGTCGCAAATCAACGCGGAGGAGGAGGCACGGCTTCCAGGCCCACGAATGAGTTTTGATTTGGTCATTGCGCACGTTTGCATGTCAAGCAGATCGAACAAAAGCGTTATTGGAAAATCGTGTCCGAAGTCATTTTCGCCACATCTATTACGACAGTTGTTGCTTCGGTTTGGCCAATTATGCCGATCGCGCGACACAGATGCTGTGCGACAGCTCACTTCGGAGCAAAGCAGCTTTTGACGGGCGGCCGACTCATGTAAACGACCAATCGGGCGATTTAGGCATGAGTGCATAAGTGATGATCTGTATAGTACTATTGGGCACCGCTTCCTTTCCGACCAACGCTGGTATGAGGCCACGCAGAACCAGGTCAATTAACGAACATAATGTGCTGATGTCGTTTCCAATAATGGTGAACATTATCGAGGACGCCGGCGGCGCATCGCCGGCCGCTCCCTGGGAGTTTGTCGGCGTCTTGGAGTGATCCCGCCACCTTGCCTGGGTTGTGGGTCAGAGTCCTCATAGACGCTTGTAGGAGTCTCTTCGGACAGCTCTCCGGATCTTCTGCGGGGCATTTTAGGAGCCTCTGGGGAGCCTCCTGGAAGCTTCTTGGGAACTGCTTCGGGCCCTCTTGGGGGCCTTTGAGGTTTTTTGGGACGCCTTGAAGGCGCGTGAGGGCCTCTAGAGTCTAGACTCTAGAGGCCATCTTCGGCTTCTGGGAGTGATCCCGCCACCTTGCCTGGGTTGTGGCTCAGAGTCCTCATGTACGCTTGCAGGAGTCTCTTCGGACAGCTCTCGGGGGCTTCTGCGAGGCAGTTTAGGGGCCTCTTGGGGGCGTCCCAGGGGCTTCTTGGAGACCTCTGGGGGCCCTCTTGGGGCCTCTTGGGGCTCTTTTGGGGTTTGTTGGGGGCCTCCAGGGGGCCGCTGAGGGCCTCCTGGGGGCCTCTTGAGCCGAAAGCTCGACATGTTCATTCGGGTACCCCTTCTGGGCCTCCTCTTGGGGCCATCCTGGGGCCCCTCTTGGGCCGTCCCGGGGGCCTCTTGGGCGGTCTTGGGGCCCTCTTGGGCCGTCTTGGGGCCGTCTTGGGGGCCTGTTGGGCCGTCCTGGGGCGATTTTGGGGGCCTCTTGGGCCGTCGTGGAGCGTGGGTAAGCCGAAATGGCGTGAACGTGAACATCCTTCAAAAACCAATGAAAAATCAATGATTTTTGTTTCTCGGGGCTGTCTTGGGGGTGCTCTTGGAGCCCTCTTGGGCCGTCTTGGAGGCGTCTTGGGCCGTCTGGAGGCCATCTTAGGCGTCTTGGAGCGATCTGGAACCGTCTGGAGGCTCTCTTGGACTGCTCGGGACTCTTGGACCGGCTTGGGGCGCCCTTGGGTCGTCCCCGGGCCGTTTGAGACCTTGAAGGGGGCCGGCGGCAGAGTGGGGCCGGCGGCAGAGTGGGGCCCCCTCGGAGGGACTTTCAGGAGGTTTTTGACCAGGCACTGGAGAAGGGGGCCAAAGACTGTGCCAGAAACTGTCAGAGAGGTCTCGCACGGCCCAACCCGCCGGGCGGAGCGGCCGGATCTAAAGGCTGTCGCCTCTGCCGTCGACCCCAACTGAGCGACATATGTATGATTCGTTTGTTGTTGGGGTGCGTTTCTGAGCGCGGCGGGAAAGAGTTCAAGTGAGACATCCAGGCCTGAGCCTCGCCCCCTGGACTCTTGATTCTCTGTTGCACCTCGGACTCCTCTATCGAAGACGCCTACGGCGAATCACCGCCGCCCCCTGCCTTTTTGGAAGGGCCTATGTGGCCGAAGGTTGTGGCCAGAGGCCTGCCAAGCTATCGGACCATGTGTTCCCCGAATCGGTTTGGAAAGCCTTTGGGGAACACGTGGGCATCTTGAAGGTCATCTTGGCCGTCTTGAGGCCACTCTGACCCTTTCGGGCCTTCTTGGAGGACGTCTTGGAGGGCTCTTGGGCCGTCTTGGAGGCTATCTTGAGCGTCCTGGAGACCTCTTGGGCCGTCTTGGGGGCCTCTTGGGGCCGTGTCTTGGGCCTCTTGGGCGATCTTTGCGGGCACTTGGGCCGTCTCGGGCCGTCGGAAGGCAAAACAAACAAATGCCACAATCCTTCAAAAACCCATGGCAAATCAATGATTTTGGCCCTTTTGGGCCTTCCTGGAGGCCCTCTTGGAGGCCTATTGGGCCGTCTTGGGCCATCTGAGGGCCATGTTCGGCCGTCTTGGTGGGCTCCTGGTCCGTCTGACGCCGTCGGAAGCCGTTTGGGGGGCCTCTATGGGCCGATTTGGGGCCCTCTTGGAATGCTCCAGGGCCGTCTTGGAGACCATCTTGGGCGTCTTAAAGGCCTCTTGTGCCGTCTTGGGGGCCTCTTGGGGCCGTCTTGGGGCCCTCTTGGGGCCCTCTTGGGCCGTTCTGGGACCATCTTGGAGGCCTCTTGGGCGATCTTTCGGCGATCTTTGGGGGCTATTGGGCCGTCGGAAGGCCGTCGGAATGCCGAAAAGAAGCAACTGTCAAAATCCGCCGAATACCTTAGGACAATCAATGTTTTTGGCCTCTTCTGGCCTTCTTGGGGGCCTCTTGGGCCAGCTTTGAGCCAACTTCGGCCATCTTGGTGGGTTCCTGGCGTCCACAACTGGCGTTTTCTGACCAGCTCCAGGCATTGACGAAACAGCTCTGCTTCGGTCGGCCCCGTCTTTCAAAGTGCGTTTGCCGCTAGAGCGACGTGCGTGTAGGAGTGGTCCTTGTGAGGGCGGCTCTTCTGCCCGCACCAAGGGGCAAGGAAGAGGGGGCACCAGGGCCCAGACCTCAAACGATGCGATGGTGTTGCAGCACGTGGCCCCAGAGGCCGCGACCCCTTCCCAGGAGGCAGTCTGTCGACCCGGGTCCGATTCTGATGACCACGGGGCCCGACAGGAGGGCTCCAGAAGCCGAGAGCGAGGATCAGCGCCGGCAACGAGAAGGAAACATGCTGTCGGAGATCTGGGATCTCAGGGAGGGGGCAGGCCAGCCACAACTGGGGGAGCTGTGGTCCTTGCCCCCCTGGGGGACCCATCGATTTCGACACCCCTCTCGAGAGATCGTCGAGGCGATGGGTTCCCTCAGGGGGGTAAGGACCACAGCTCCCCCAGTTATGGCTGGTCGGGGGGGGAAAGCGAGTGAGGACAGGCAAGGGCAGGGGAAGGGGAGAGGGGTACGCGAGGAAGGGCTTTTTCTCCTCGGGCGCTCGCCGGGGACAGGACGAGGAGGAGGACGACGACGAGGAGCTGGATGCGGAGATCAAGAAGCTCGTCGAGCAGTCCCCGCCCCCGGCCGAGCTGACGGACGAGGAGAGGAAGCAGTTCTTCAGGACCTCCTCCTCCTCCTCTTTCTCCTCCTCCTCCTCTTTCTCCTCCTCCTCCTCCTCCTCCTCCTCCTCCTCCTTCTGCTCCTCTATCGCTCCAGAGCGTTCCAGATCGTTCTCAGAGCGCTTCAGGAGGCTCTGGGATGGTCGCGGCGTCCGATGCTCTTCCAGCCCCGCCAGGTCTCGGAGATTCCCGATCTCTTTTAGCCCGACTTGGTCTTCCATCCCACCTTCGTCTTGTGCCGAGGCGTGCTTGCATGCTTGCACTGGTCCTCCTCCTGCTGCTCCTCTGCCCGCCCCCTCGCGAGGATCAAGTGCTTGGGTCTTTGAGCGTCTGGTACGGGTGCCCCCGGAATGCCTCCGCCCCCGTCTTCAAGATCTGTCGCGTCCCTTCTCTCAGGCCGCATTCCTGTCGAGTCCAGTCCGTAGGAGCTTCTTAGAAATTGCAACTTACAGTCCACCAGAGAGAGCCAGCCGCGCAGCACTGCGCAACACCGTGCCGTTCACTGAGCGGCATTGACCGGTGTTACGCGGTGGTCGCTTCCAAGTCGTTTCACAGATGTCCCTATGGATCGGACCCGTAACCTCCCTTGCATCTCCACCGTATCAGGAGGCTCTCCTTTCTCCCTTGATGCTGTCCAGGGTTGATGCTGTCCAGGGGGTCGAACAAAAAAGATCGGCATACACCACAAAACGTTCAGAGTTCCGCTCTGAATTATCGGACCAGCGCTGGACCCACGTGCCGCCGTTGGGGTATAAACCTCCCAGCCGCCCAAGGACAGACTTTTGTAAAGCTTATGTCATACTCATGGCCAGACGAACCCGGCCCTAACTTCGCAAACCGCAAACCCTATTTGAAACGCCCTCATCGCACAAGCCTGGTCTCATACGCAACTTGGGCTTGTAAACCAGGTCCCAGGCGCTCTCGACCTCTGCAAATTTGGTTTGGGCTGTGTTCGAACGCCGCAAACCCAGCTCCGGGTACCCTCCACCATGGGGTACAAACCCAGTCTCAGAGTATTTCGAGAGGACAGCCGATTGAGCAGAGATCATGGTTCGAACGCGTTTCGAACGGGGTGGTATTTCGAGCAGAGCCTCTTCTTGTTGGAAGTGCATTTCTTCGTCCGCTAACCCTCGTCGATCCTCTCCCTCTCCAGCTCTCGATCGGGTGCCCCGCCGACGGCTCTGCCTGGCCGGTCCGCTCAGGAAGCCCAAGCAGAGCGACATCCTGGCAGCGACGCTGAGCTCGGCGGGGGGCGAAGGGGGGGGGAGGAAGGAGAGGAAGAAGGGCAGGATGATCAGGGCGGGGGGGAGGAGCGGCGGGGAGGAGGAGAAGGAGGACGACGAGGACGAAGGCGAGGAGGACGGAGAGGAGAAGAGGCGGAGAAGGAGGAGGAGGCGGAGAGGAGGAGGATGAGGAGGAGGAGGACCAGTGCAAACCCAAGACTCATCAACGATGTTGGAGCACCCTCCCTCCAATGAGCTCCCTCTATCAGAGTGAGGAGGCCGAACGGTCATTCATTGTCCCTGGGTGCGTGGCTGAATAGGGACTTCGTGGTGAGAGTTCTGCTTGTTGCTTTGTTGTTGTTGGTGGTGTTGTTGGTGTTGTTGGTGTTGGTGTTGTTGGCGTTGGTGTAGTAGTTGTTGTTGTTGTTGTTGCTGTTGTTGGTGGTGGTGTTGTTGTTGTCGTTGTTGTTGTTGTTGTTGTTGTTGTTGCTGTTTTTGATTTTGCTGTTGTTGTTGCTGTTGATGTTGTTGTTGTTGTTGTTGTTGTTGTTGTTGTTGTTGTTGTTGTTGTTGTTGTTGGTGTTGGTGTTGGTGTTGGTGTTGTTGTTGTTGTTGTTGTTGTTGAGGTCGTTGCTGTTGAGTTTAAATTTACGAGCGAAGTATTATTGTTGAACCCTTTACAGGCGCCGTGGCGCTCTCGTCGAGGCGCCGGCTGCATTTTCATTCAAAATGAGGGTCACTTTCAAGTGGTTTGGGGGACCGCCAAACTGGCCCCCCAACAACAACAACGCTCCCGTTCGGGATTTCCCCATTTTTTCTCAGGGCCGGTGCTCTTGCTCCCTGCCGAAAGCAGCCGTTTCAACAAAACCAGCGCTCCCGCTCGTTATTTTCTTTCGCGTTTTACCTTGGCCAGGCGCGCTACTCTTTCTCTCATCGGCGCCGCCCCCCAACAACAACAACGCTCCCGCTCGAGACTTCTCCCTTTTTTACTCAAGGCGGTGCTCTTGCTCGCCGCCGACAGCCCCCGTCCCGACACAACCAGCGTTCCCGCACGAGACTTCCTCCCGTTTTATGCTGGACTGGCGCCCTTTTCTCCTCCTCCTCCTCCTCGTTCTCCTCCTCTTCCTCCTTCTCCTTCTCCTCCTCCTCCTCCCTCCTCCCCCCTCCCTCCTCTTCCTCCCTCTTCCTTCCTCCACCCCCTCCTCTTCTCCCTCCTCCCTCCTCCGTCCCTCTTTCCTCCCTCCTCCTCCCTCCCCCCTTCTCTCCTCTCTCTCTATCCTCCTCTTCCCTCTCCTCCTCCTCCTCCTCCTCCTCCTCCTCCTCCTCTCCTCCTCCTCCCTCCCTCTCCTCGTCCTCCTCCTCCTCCTCCTCCTCCTCCTCCTCCTCCTCCTCCTCCCCTTCCTCCTCCTTTTCCTCCTCCTCCTCCTCCTCCTCATTTTCCTTCTTTTCCTCCTCGTCCTCCCTCCTTCCCCCTCTTTCTTCCTCACTCTTCCTCCCTCCGCCCCTTCCTCTTCTCCCTCCTCCCTCCTCCGTTTCCCGTCCCTCTTTCCTCCCTCCTTTTCCCTCCTCCTCCCTCCTCCTTTCCCTTTTTGCCCCCCTGTCTCCTCCCTCCTCCTGCCCCCCTCCTCCCTCCTCCCTCCTCCCTTCCCTTTCCGTTCTCCCTCGTCGCTCCCGATTGATATTTCCTCACCCGTGACTCAAGATTGGGACCCTCGTTTCGGCGTTGCTTTGGGGGGCTTCCAAGAGTCCCTGTTGAGCCTTAGTTGTTACATACTTATCATTTTTGGAGAGCATAGATAATATGGAAGAAGAGAAGAAGGATGACGGATGACTTTCAGTAGCTCCAAGGATCGAGGGTCAAAGGATTGATTCTTCAGGCTTCCGCCACATCCGCCGACCCCTTGGATTTTCCCCGGGATCGTTCACCACAGCTTCCTTGCAGACCGTGGGAAAATGAGGTTGTTCAGGGCCCGTCACAGCGAGAAGGGGAGCCGACATGGGTCGCAAACTGGCCCAGAGGGCTTCCAGACGGCCCAAGCGAACCCCAAAACGGCACAGGGAGGTTTTTTTGGTTGTGTTTGGGGCCTTGCACGGGTGCCGGAGCCAGGGAAGTATGTTACACCCCGGAGACATCTTACGGTTGTCGGCGGTTTCCAAGCGGGATGCCCCGCTAACTGTTAATGTTCGGAGATGTTTGGGCTGACCTTGTCGATGGCAATGACGTCGTTGATGATCACGACACTGATGACGATGATCGGCTCCCTCTCCTCCTCTCCTCCTCCCCCTGCTCCTCCCTCCTGCTCCTCTTTCTGCCTCTCCTCCTCTTCCTTCTCCTGCCCTTCCTCCTCCTCCTCCTCGTCCACGTCCTTCTTCCCTTCCCTTCCCCGCCTTCTTCTCCTCCTCCTTCTTGTCCTTCTCCTGCTGTTCCTCCTCCCGCCCTTCGTCCCTCTCCTCCTCCTCCTCCTCCTCCTCCTCCTCCTCCTCCTCCTCCTCCTCCTCCCCCGCCTTCTCCTCCTCCTTATCCCCCTTCCCTTCCCGGCCTTCTCCTCCTCTTCCTCCCCCTCCTTGTCCTCTTCCTCCTCCTCCTTCTCCTCCTCCTGCTCCTCCTCCCCCCCCCCTCCTTCTCCTGTCGCGGGGCCCTCGTGGAGGCTTCTTGGACCGTCTTGGTGCGGTCTTGGGAGGCTCTCGGGCCGCCCCGGAGCGCCCCAGAAGGCGCACGTACGAAAAATACACGTTTTACGAAGAGAACGGGCGATTTTATACAGCGAGAGGCCCTCCAGGGGCGCATAGTGAAAGCCTCGTGGGGCGTCTTGGGGGGCCTCTCGGGGGGCCGTCGTCAGCGTTTTGGATCGCTCTTGGACCGTCGAGGACCATGTGGAGCTCTCGTCGAGGCCGCTCGGACCGCTCCTGGAGCGCTCTCGGAGCCGTTTTCGGAGCCCTTTTGGGTAGTCTTGGACGTGTGTTTGCGCGTTTTGGGGCCCTCGAGGGCTCTGTGGGAACCCTCTTGGGGGCGTCTTGGGCCGTCTGGGAGCGGGTTTGGGTGGCCCTGGGGCCGTCCAGGAGCGGGGGACACCCCAAAAGGCGCACGTGTGAAACAATATACGTTTGACGAAGGAAACGAAGGATCTTTTGCGTCTAGAGGCCCTCTGTGGGCGCATCGTGGATGCCTCTTGGGGCGTCTTGGGGGCCTCTTCAGCCGTTTGGAGGCCGTCGTCAGCGTTTTTGATCGCCCTTGGACGGTCGAGGACCATGTGGAGCTCTCTTCGAGGCCACTCGGACCGCTCCTGGAGCGCTCTCGGAGCCGTTTTCGGAGCCCTTCTGGGCCGTCTTGGACGTGTGTTGGCGCGTCTTGGGGCCCTCGAGGGCTATGTACGGACCCTCTTGGAGGCGTCTTGGACCGTCTGGGAGCGGGTTTGGGGGGCTCTGGGGCCGTGCAGGAGCGGGGGTCACCCTCAAAGGCGCACGTGTGAAACAATATACGTTTTACGAAGGAAACGAACGATTTGTTGCGTCTAGAGGGCCTCTTGGGGGGAATCTTGGATGCCTGTGGGGGCGTCTGGGGAGGCCTCGTGAGCCGTCGGGAGGTCGTCGTCGATGTTTCTGATCGCTCTTGGACCGTCTGGGACCATGTGGAGCTTCGGGGAGGCAACTCGGAGCGCTCCTGGAACGCTCTTGGGGCCGTTTTCGGAGCCCTCTTGGGCCGTCTTGGACGCCTGTTGGCCCATCTTGGGCCCTCTAGGGGTCTGTGGGGGACCCTCTGCGAGGCTTCTGGGGCCGTCTGGGAGCGGGTTTGGGAGCCTCTTGGGCCGTCGGGGAGCATCGGAAAGATCCAAAGCTGAATTGTTTTAAATGTACATTTGGCCCAATTTTGGCGTCTAGGGACCCTTGTGGAACGCATCTCGGAGGCCCTCGGGGGAGCTCGTGGGGACCTCTTCTGCCGTCGAGGACGCCTCGTGGCCCGTCTTCGGGCAAACTTGGACGTCTTGGAGCGCTCGTGGGGCGTCCCAAATCCATTTCGAAGCCACCAGACGCGTCCCTACACGAATTTCATGTGTTTTTTTCCACGTTTTTCGTCACCCCCAAAAGCGCACGTGTGAAAAATGTACGTTTTACGAAGGAATCAAACGATTTTTTGCGTCTAGAGGGCCTCTTGGGGGGAATCTTGGATGCCTGTGGGGGCGTCTGGGGAGGCCTCGTGAGCCGTCGGGAGGTCGTCGTCGATGTTTCTGATCGCACTTGGACCGTCTGGGACCATGTGGAGCTTCGGGGAAGCAACTCGGAGCGTTCCTGGAACGCTTTTGGGGCCGTTTTCGGAGTCAGTAGCTCCAAGGATCGAGGGTCAAAGGATTGATTTCAAGGATTATTTGAGAGGGCGTGGGGGGGAAGGTGGAGGATGCGAGCATGGAAGCGGCAGCGCCTGGGGACGTTGACGTTCAGGGCTACGCGCCGAGGCCGCAGGATGGTGGCGTAACAGTTCGGACGAGGAGTAAGAACCACCTCTTCTTCGGAGGTGCTGCTACTACAACTGCTCATCCTTCCTCCCCCTCCTCCTCCTCCTCCTGCTCCTCCTCCTCATCGTCATCCTCCTCCATCCTCCTCGTCCTCTCCCTCTTCCTCTCCCTCATCTTCCCTCCCCTCCTCGTCCTCTTCCTCCTCCTCCGAGATGCGCGGCCCGCGTTAGGCGAGCGCGATGGCGATGTGCCATCCGAGCTGTGGATGCCGAAGTTCTTCGGGAGAGGCGGCTGCGATGCTTTCTGGGCGGGAGATCCGGGCGACGGAATATCGGGCCCGCGCGCCAGAAGATCTTCCTCGTTGGGGTGCGGCATTCAGAAGAACGCGTGTGACACGTGGAAGCACGGCGCGGCCCTTTGCCCCGCGGCGGCGCCCCCGCGCGAATCCGCGGGGGTCCTATGAGATCCCGTGGGATCCCTCGGAAATCCATCGGGATCAATGGGGCTACATCGGGGCCCTACGGGATTCCTATGGTTTCCTGAGGATTCATATGGATTCCTACGGGGTCTTAAGGATGTATTAGGTATATTATGATTTTTCTTTGGATTCCGATATAGTCGTATATTCCTAAGGAATCGCAGGGTTTGTATGGTTCCCTAGGGATTCCGATGGATTCCGAGGGTTCCTTGGGGTCCTAGAATGTTTGGGATTTTTGCGATTGTCATGTATTCCTATGGATTCCGAGGGGTTTCCTAGGATTCATCAGGTTCCTAGGATTCTTTTGGGGTTACTATGGATGCTTCTGGTTTCTAAGGGGTCATGGCCCATGACTCTTTAAACCAGAGGAGTCCCGAAATATTTATACAACATCATAGATTCCCGAAGGATCCCGATGGATCCACCCGGATCCCTCGGATCCCCAAGGGATCCCGATGGATTCAAGACGATTCCTAGGACCCCTCAGAGATTCCGAAGATTCCCTGGGGATTCCGACGAATTCCTAAGATTCCCGAAAGATCCCGATGGATCCCTCGGGAATCCGACGACCCCCTACGGATCCCAAGTGTCCTCGGATTCCCTCGGGGTTCTTAGGATTCCTAGGGTTCCTTAGGATCTTTATTATTCCCAAGGGATCCCGATGGATCCCAATGGATCCCCAAACGTTCCCAGGAATGTGAAGATTCCCAATGGATTACCATAGATTCCGATGGATTCCGAAGAAGTCATAGGATTCCGAAAATTCCCGTTGGATCCCCATGGATTCCGATGGTTCTTTGGGGATTCCCTATGTAGGCCTTAGGATGCCGAGGATCCCCCATGGATTCTTATGGATTCTCTAGGATTCCTAAGATTCCCCAGGGTTTCCTATGGATTCATATACATATAACGGGGGACCGGGGCCGGGGGCCGGGGGCCGGGACCCCGACCACAAATGTGTGGCCCGGGGCCCGGGCCCGCCCTTGGGAAACTTAAAATCGCCCCAGCGAGCCCTCAGACAGCAATCCCGGCGGCCCCAGGCGGTCTCGAGACACCCCCAAGACGACGTCCAGGGGTTTCCGTCGACGCACGATGCGTTTAAATTGCCCTGGAGGCCCCCATGACGCCCCAAGAAGTCTTTAAGATGCCGCCGAAGAGCGCCCCGAGAGGGGCAAAATCGTTGATTTCTGTTTAAACAGATGTTCTTGTTTTGCATTCTCGCTGATTCATGTTTCTGGCG